TTTGGAGTTTGGAAGAAGAAGTTATGCTCGGAGCACAGCCATGGCGCCGTGGCCTTGCAGGGAGAGCTGGGCCAGGGCATGGTGAGGCTGGGAGGCATGCTTGCTGGGGGTGGAAGAGGCGCTCGCGCAACCCCCCTCTCCAGTCGGGCAGAGCTCCATGCACTGATCTAGGGGGTATCCCTAATGGGCCAGCCGCGAGAGCTGGGGGGCGGGCAGAGTGCCACGTGGCTTGGCGCCTTAGGGATACCCCCTAGGTCAGTGAATGGTGCTCTGCCTGGCTGGAGAGGTTTGCCGGGTGGCTGCTCATGAGCGTGGTCACCTCATGGCTGCTTCGCCCCTGAGGCTTCTTCGGAAGCCTGCTCTCAAGGGAGCAGCCGCCTGGCAACTCCCCCCTCCGACCAGGCAGAATGCCACTCCCCAACCTAGCGGTATCCCGAAGGCGGCAAGCAACATGAGCGCCTTTCCCCCCTGGCTCCCGCAGCTTGGCGCCTTTGGGATACTGCTAGGTCAGTGAGCGGTGCTCTGCCTGACCAGGGGTGGTGGTGTCCAGGGGGCTTATTTTTTTTTGGGGGGGGGCTTATATTTTTGCCTACGTCAAAAATGTGGCAAGGTGTTAAGTTTCAGGACAGGTCGTATTTTCAGAGAAACATGGTACTTTGTTCGGTATAAAATGTGGTTTATAGTAGTTTATCAATTAAGTGAATGTCCCCAAATTAAAGTCTTACTGGTTTATGCTGCCCTCTGGTGTTCAACCACTGCAATATTCAGGAGACTGTAGACAGACCTTACCTAACGACAGGCCAGTCTAGTGACTGTTCGAAGTTACGACAGTGCTGAAAAGATAACCTTTCGATCAGTCTTTGCATTTATTACCATCAGAGCATCCCTGTGGTCATATGATCGAGTTCTGAGCGTTTCGCAACTGACAGGCATATACAATGGTCACGATATTGCGTGATTTGTTGGCTTCGGAGAAGCAGAATCAATGGAGAAGCTGGCAATACAATTGCAAGTGGCAGTCATGGGGTGCCTTGCTTAATGACCCACATTGACTTATTTAACGGCTGAATGGGAAGTGGCAGGTCTGTTGAGATCATGTGATGTTTTGTTTATGACGGTGTCATTTAGCAAAGGATTTGACAGTCCCAGTTGTGGTCACTATGTAAAGACTACCTGTAAAACTGAAAATTAATGACTACACTAACCAAAAAAGTAAAGTTTTAGCTTATTTTTACAAGCCATCATTATGAAATGTTCAACATACCGCACGATGGTGGCAACCCAGCCACTTAATTAGATAATAATACCAACATATCAAGAAAGTAGCTGGCTAGAAAAGAAATAATTAACTTTATAATACATCTTCTAAAGTTAAGAGAAACCAAATAGCCTTTTTAAATTTCACTTAAAATGCCAGTCATAACCTGCTTATTTGTAAATTAACTATCAAAAATAATCAGATCTGTATTATAGCATAAGAAACATATGGACTACCATTAAAGCTAATTTATTTAGATCAATATACTCTGGTCCAGGCCCAGTGGTGGATTCTGGATCCCATTCCAACTGGTACAGTTGGAACGGGCCTGGCGTCACCCACATGGATGCGCGCATGCGTTGCACCTGCCTGCCACACCTCCGCGATACTCCAGCTGTTCAGTGGAGCATTGCGCAGCGCCGTACGTGCCATGTGCATGCACGGAAGTGCCGAAGGCTTAAAGGACAGGTAAGGAGCTTGGGCGGGTGGGTGGACCCTCCGGAGCACTGTACCAGAACGACACCTCATGCTCCGGGCATGCTATGGTAAGCCTGTACCAGGACGTACCACCTACAACCTACCACTGTCCAGGCCCTAATCTGATTGGTCTTGGTGATCTTAGGATGGTCAGGCCTGGCTAGTGGTGACAACCCAAACATATCAGGGCTGTAGGAGAGATTCAGTCTGAATAAATAGTAGGATAGTTAATTTGTAAATGCATGTTATAGGAACAACATGAAATGTCCACTAGGTAAAAAGGAACACAACGAAAAGAGATAAATATGATTAATAAAGCTCACTATATACATTAACTAAGTCATTTCAAATAAACCGCAAAGTAGCAATAGAACTTAGACTTATATACCGCTTTTACATCCCTCTCCAAGCGGTTTACATAGTCAGCATATTGTCCCCAATAATCTGGGTGCTCCTTTTACCCACCTCAGAAGGATAGAAGGCTGAGTCAACCTTGAGCCTGGTGAGATTTGAACTGCCAAATTGCAGGCAGGCAGCAGAAGTAGGCTGCAGTACTGCATTCCAACCACTGTGCCACCAGTAAATATCTATTTAGAAAATTTATTTACCGCCTGTCTCATATCCAACAACTCTGGGCAGCAATATATTATAAAATATACTGTAAAATATTAGCCAGTGGAAATTTAGGAAATGTATTTCACATAAGTTAGTCATGTGATCATTTTATGTCTATGCTCTTTGCTCCTGTCATAAATGCTGAAAAGGTCAGCAATTCTTTTGATGACTGCTGTGCTTTCT